AGAAAAAAAGATTTTTTTTTGGGGGGCGACAAGGGGGGACGGAGGGGGGCCCTCCCGGGGGAAAAAAGGGGAAAAAATTCTCCCCCGGGCGGGAGAGCGCGGGGTCCATCCCGGGGGCGCCGGGGCCCCCTTTTCCCCCCCCCCCCCCCCTCTCCCCCCCTCCCCCCCCACCTCTCCCCCGCCTCCGGAGGTGACGTGGCATGTTTGGAGGAGTCGGGTTAATGTTATGCTGCTGTGTGAATTGGTTTGATGCTTGTTTCGCGGCAGATTTTCCCTCGCGCTCTCTCTCTCCTTGATCAGATTTCCTCCTGGCTGTGTGTGTCCCGCTGCATGCTATACAACGCGGCGTGCCTTGTCGCGGTACTGTTTTCGACGTTTTTGTTTTACAGATTTTTTATTTCTCCGTTGAAGGTTGTGGTTGTTTTAGTTGTTGTTTCTTTCTTCTTTTTTTTTTTTTTTCTGCTTGACTGCAGAGACCCGCGAAGATGGTACGGCCTACGGTACTAGGGCGGTGTAGAGTAGAGTAAAGCAAGTGTGGTAAACGGTATACTAATGAAGACATGAGGAAAATGGACACGGGTTGGAAGCGATCACAGCAAGCAGTGGTGTTGTCCCCCCTTCTCCCGGAAGGAGTCGTCAGACGATTGCCGGTGTTTGTGCGAATATTGGGTGTGGTTGAGCGTGCGTGTTTGGGAAAAAGGATCCTTCATTGTCGCATCTTTTCTTCGGCCGCTGGAAAAGAGAGAGGACTGGGCTTAGTCCAAGGTGTTGGGTACGGATACATTGGTCGCTACGGTTTCGATCCCGATGATGGTAGGGAGGTAATCTAATCGATGCTGACTGCAGCAGGAGGGAAAGCGGGGGCTAGTATGGACGGAGACGCTAGGCGGGTAGGGGGGGGCATTAGTTGTGGCCAAGCCCGCGAAGTCACGCGTGGGCTCATAATGGAGTTGCGCAGGCAGAGCGCAACCAGTGGAATGGATGCGCCGTGGGTGGTCCGTTATTCCCTGGCATGTACCATGATTTGTTCGTGGTTGCGGAGTGTCGAGGTATCTTCTCTGTAGACTGAACCAGAAAGAGGGAGAGGGCACTGGGCATGCGTGATGGGTTTTTGACTCGTCGGTTCGGTTGCTGGGTTGCAAGAGCCGGTGGTTTGTGTTTCTTTCCGTGCAACTGCCCCTCGTCCGCGTCTTGCGAGTCTTCTGTGCTGCAACGCCGCACACGCGCGGTCATTTCGTAGAACCTTTCTTTCATGGGGGACAACGCAGACTTGTCGCCGAGGGGGGGTGTCTGGCACTCTCAGGGGTTGAGTGGTTATGTACTGCGAGCACCATGCGCCGTACTGCTGAATCAACATTTTCAGGGTAGAGATTCCGTTCGTCTCCTCACGCCGAGCTATCTACCATACGAAGGGCGGGGAAGAAGGCGGGCGGAGGGAGATGATTTTGCGCGGAGGTTATAGGTGTCATTCTTGTTTTTCACTAGGTCTCGGTAATTTTTGTCGGGGAAAAAAAAAACAGAGGGGTTCGCTCGGCGTCGTACGCCTTGCTGTAAAACGAGTTGGGGAGTACGTACGTAAGTTTGGATTTTCTTGTAGGGTATTGGGAGAAGGATTGGGTGGGGACCTACGCATAGGTGGCGCGCAGTTTGTCGCCCGGCGGGGCTCGTTGATGGTCTTGAGCGCAACCCCCCCCCCCAAAAAGAGCGTGTTTTTGTGATGTTGGGTGTGTTTCTGTGCTGCTCCTCTCGGCTTGGCTGGGGCTTATGTCGGGCATCGTGCGGGCGGGGAAAAAGTGGAGCGGTGCTCAGCGTCGTTATATGCAGAAGTTGGTTGTCGTTTTTTTTTTTTTGGCTTTAAGTGGGGAGGCCTTATTTTCTCGTGACATGATTATTTTTCCTTCTCCGGCAGTGTCCCGGCTCCCTGTAACGCTGCTGCCAGTGTTTTGGGGTCCGGCAATCAGTCACACCCAGCGACCGAATGGAATTTGGTGTTGGGCTGCCATGCTAGCTATTATTGGTGTTTGGCATTTCACCGCTCCTGTTGTTGATTTTCTATTCCGTCCTTGTGTTGTTGTTTTTCGTACTCGTAGGAAATACATATATCTTAAAGAGCTGTAGGTGGATCGTAGCACTGCCGGTAGGACAGCAAGAGAGCATTTTGCTTCCCCCGCTCGACACCGAGTATGTATCTGTTGGTTCCTCCCTTAAATAATATTCCCGTGCGTTTCGAAGCTGCATCGAGTGACCGGTTCATCGCCGTTGCGTTGCTGCAATCAATCATTTTGCTCCGCAAAGAAGTGGCGTTCTTTTGTGTGCCCGGGTCTACCTGCAGGCGCGGCGAAGAGAGTGTGTGCTGAGACAGTTGAACCAAGGTGTGCATGTGGGTTATCCTTCCTTCTCTGTGTTAGTTGTGTGTCTTCTTATTATCTCTATTGGCTTGTTCTACACATGATATGAACTTCTTTTCTTTCCTTCTCCGGGACTAGCAATTATGTACCCTTTAAAGAACAAGTGTTTCCTCCCTACCTTTTTCTCCCTGTGTTGGTTTGGGTGGCGTCATGCTCTCGTTCGTGACAGCCTCACTCTCCCTCGTCCATCGTCTATCTTTATTTCCTTGTCGCTCGGTCCTTCGCACTGCTGGGGATGGATGGATGCGGTCGATAGCCAGCACCGGGGTTGTTGGTGTTGATGAAAGTTCTTGACGATGACCTCTCGAAGACCATGTATGTATACCTCAACCCTGCAAACGGAAAATACTCCGTTTCCGTGCTTCCCTCCTAGGTTTCGCTGCACGCACGTACGTAGGCCAACATACCTTGTAGTAGCTCCGACTTCGGTGGTGGTTTTAGACCATCACCTATATATAATAATTACACACACACCTCGCTCCTGGAATTTTATTGTGCAGACCTAGGTTATGACCATATATCCTGTGTACAACAACACGTTCTCGCTGTATTTTTTTTAGTGAAAGGTCTGACGTCTTTGGTCATCTCTATAGACGCCGTCTGTGCCGCCTAACGACAATATATTAAACCATGTGACACTCACCACTCGTTTTTTTCTCACTCAGCTGGGACCTTTTGCACTACTCTCGGGCGGCAATCGTTTCCAACAGCTGTGACTCTGCGTGATGGTTTGCAGTTTTTCTTTCTTTCTTGTTGAGGTTTGCTGGGCTCTCGGAGCTGACTCTATGGATCCATTGCTAATCTATCTTAGACTACATATCTTCGATAGATAGAGATGAATTCGTTGGGTCATACTGACAAAAAAAAAAATGAGCCAGGTATGTGAGCTGTTGAGCTTGGGAAACGTCACAACTGCTCTTTAAGTATCATGACAGCACAGCAGCAGTGTCACAGATGGGTGATGAAGATGACAATCAAGCACTAGGACTTACTAATACTACTGACATTTCACCCAGCAAGGAACGAGAGAGAGGGAACAGCGGAGGTGAGAGATGTGAGAGATGAGAGGTATATCGAGCGTTGGGGGTGTGGCAACAAACGATGAATGAATCAGGAACGTACACGTGTTGCGGCGGCGGAACCGGTGCCGTTTGGTTGCCGGTCGGGGCACTCGACGCTCGACGCGCTCTCACCGCCAAGAACAGTCCAGGAACAATCTTGCACAGGACAAAAGACAAGTTGGACAGGTGTGCGTCGTAGAAGAGCTGTGTACCATGGGAAAGGGACGAAGAGGCATAGCACGGTAGAAGGGCATTCGTTATTCGTCCCCACCTTGCCCACGCAGCATGCGCAGCGCACTGCTGGTGTTTGGTTCTCAGTAAACGCGAGACACACACACGCCGACATCAGCCCCGCAGGCTGCGGGTGCTCTCGCACCACCCCACCTAGTATGGAGGAGCTCAGGAGCAACGTCTGTTCGAATGAGGGTGAGAAAGTGAGACTTCATCCTTATTTCCCCAGGAAGTCCGCGTTGCGAATCATGCTTCTCGTCCGTACCGTTTCAAACACGTGGCGTTTGAGTATAAACCTCGCTCAGGTGTGGGCTTATCCTGACGATATATATGTGCGGCGACGCGGGTTGGTGTTGAACCATGATCTGACCGAGGAGAGCTGTACCGAACTGAAGCATAAATTCAGACTGCACATTTGATGTACATATGTCTGGTTGTGGCGGTGGTTCGGTCTTCTTAGTGGAATTGACTCACCCACCCCTCATTCTCAACAAACTGCTGTAGTGTCGACAGACCCACCGTAAATATCGTGTGTGTAGGATAATACGCCCCCTCCCTCGCCACCTCATCCCCCCGACACCATTTTTCTCCGATCACCAGATGAAGACGACTACGTGTACGTGTTGAAGAAGCCCACACTCATGACACGTGGCGGCTTGCGAGGATGTACATGTGCGGGAACAGACGAGCGCAAAACACCTCAGCATGCAGGTTGGTTGTGAAATAATGTTCTGTCGCGTATCAAATGGTAGATCAATGGTATCTCGCAGCAGCAGCAGCAGCAGGAGGAGTATGTCGTTGCCTGATGCCCAACGTTGGTCGGGGCGCGGGGGAGTCACACGCGGTGAAAACGCACACCCCGGAGCGCGAACAGGTGGGGGGAGAGGTGATGGGGATGAGAGTCGTCCAAAATAAACATGAAAACCGCCCGGCCTGGGGTTAAAGAGCCCACAGGTTCGTTTATCGTGGAATAGTAGAAACACAGGTAGGTGGAGGTCTATATCCTATGATGGTACAGAGGGTGTCCCTGTTTAGTGCCGGTATGTGACAAGAAAATTCACCGGCATCATACCCGACCGGCAAGGAATTCATGTTCAGTGTGTGTTCGCCGAAAACACCGGCACCATACCGGGCATTGGCA